TGCTGTTTTTAATTGACATTACTTTTCAGATAAATCAAGAAGTCTTAAAAATGTAAAGCTGGTTTTTAGTCATGTGAAAAACAGAATTTTTAAAGATAACCTGACACCGGCAGTGATTTTAATCTGTGTATTATTGAAGATAATAAGTTTAACTACTGATATGTGTTGCTACAGTCCATCTGGCTTCAGATGTGGATATTTTGTCTGGAAATGACTCCAAAATAAAACTTTTTTTTAGGCGGTGACAACATATTTTTCCTTTTTATTTTAAACTTTTAAACATTGCAGCAACATGTTTACTCGCAATATTGCGTGTTTGACAGATTCAGTGAAATGCAGGTCAGATGTTTGGGTTTGGCATTACCGCACATTTCCAAAGACGACGCAAACACAAACTAAATCCACGAATAACTGCGACTTATTGCGTTTTGAACAGAATACGATGCAATTCAGGCGAAGCAGTGATACAATGCACTGCATCTGAATGATGAGACAAAATATTTGGTTTATTACACCGAAAAGAGAAATTGGCGATATTTTTTGGGAAATCTAAAGGGTTTTTTTTGTACATAATTTATTGTAGAAATTAAAAAATGATTTGGTTCAGGTTTGACTGATCCAAATATTCAGTTTTGCTCAAAGCAGTACAAGTTTATCATTATTTTATCATTTCACAAACTGTTTTAAAGAGTCTCTTTAAAGTGTAGAAACATCCAGTTCTGGTTTGATTCATATAAATATTTCAGATTTGGACAGATTTCACTTTCACTGGAAATATCCTGGTGAATTATTCCTGCAGGTTTCAACACATTCATAAGCTACTAGAAGTAAAATCTACCAAATAAAATACACATTTATCATAAATACACCAAAATAAATCTGAGGAGTTTGATAAATCTGAAGCTTTTAGCAGCTCAGCAATAAGGTTTTTTTTAAATTATGAACAAAATGAAGGCTTTTAATATCTGCTTTAAAACTTTAAAATCTAAACTTTCTGACATCATTTGCTGCAGTAAACAAAAACCTAATTAATGTTATCGTAACTGAGGCTGTGGAGAGAATAAATATTTTACAAAATGTTAAATCATCAAAAGTAGTTCACACCTTGTAGAAAAGCAATCCATAAATAACCTTAAATGGCAAAAGAGTAGAAAGAGACTTGAAATTTTGCGTTATTCTAATAAAGTTGTACAATTTTCTTATATTTCTGGCTTTAAAAAATGTCCTCCAGAACGCATTTCGTTTTCTCCTGGTGTACAGTTCAAGATTTCTCACCATTATTTGGGTAAAATAACCTGAAATCTACTTTAAATTGGTGCAATTGTTAAAAACCACTTTAAAAGGTAAAGTAAAAACGTTAAAACATTCGTTTACTGTGAGAGATTCACTTTTTGAAGAAACAAATCTAAAAAAAATATCTAATTTTCACGATGAGACTGTTTGAAATTATATTTTCTTATGTCGTCATTCCTGTTAGGGAAGAAAATGGAGAACGGCGTATTTATCTACCCTAAATTAGCAACACCAACATATAAACAGAGTGGAAGCAGAGCTGCCTCAGTCCTCATAAACAAAGAATCAATGAACATCAGAGCCAGTCTGCCGAAACGAGCCTGTAATTAAACACTGTTACCATTCGGTCGCTCAGAATGAGTAAAATCTCTCCACGCGAACACAGTGAGAACTTAAAAAAGAATCAAAGAAAACATGTAGGAGCTGCAGCTTTGAGCTGAATGATGCGTTTTCCTTATTATGTTATTTAATGCTGCTGAAAAGATGAGCTCTCTGAATGCTGTGAAAGGCAACCAGAGAGCACAAAGGTCATGGTTTCATGGTTTTTCTTTCCCACAAATGCAGATGAACATCGGTGAACATCAGGGCTTTTCACTTTGGTTTCAGCAAAAGAAACAAAAAATATTCATGATATTACAGCGAAGGGGAAAGGTTGTTCATATTCAACTAACCCTGCAGCTGAGTTCAGAACCTCGCTTTTTCAAAAATCCTGCTAAATGTGCATTTTAATCACTTGTATTTGCCTCTCTTATTTAAACTGAAGTACATGCAAAGAAATGAAACCAAAGCTGTGATACATGGGGATATTTATTACTGTTATTTTTTATCTTATTTAAAGGTGGAAAACGTCAGACGACCACAAAAACATAACAGCTGATTACAGAGTCGATCCATGATGCTTTCCCACCAGATTTGTTTAAGCCTTTTTTATACAATATTAGAAATGCATTAAAAGATGCAAATAATAAACTTAAATTCCCATTTTAAATAAGAAAATGCAACAACATAGTATCCATTTAGCTTGATTATTTGTAGCAAAGGATGCATCTACAACTAAAACATTCTTCTACCATGTGAAAAACTCAGTCAATAATAATTGGATAGCATAATCTGTTTATTTTTACAGTATTTGAATGACGTGAAGCTAAAACTGTGACTTGAGGAGTTTTGTGTAGAATATATTCACTAATAAAGACGGTTTCCATCTTAAATGCTCATTTTTACAGTTTTGGTTTGCTTACTACTCTGACTATGGCGTTCTTTCAGCAGTTAACCTTTTTTGAGTCCATTTAGTAAATTAATACTAAATTAAATGACAACTACAGCTCTGGAAGAGACCACTTAAAATGATCAGTTCTATGATTTTACTCTTTATAGGTAGGTATAGGTTTGAGTAAAGTTAACATTGTTCTTTTGCTCTATGAACTATTGACAGCATGTCTCTAAAATTACAAGCAAATATTTAGTATTTGCAGAAAATGAGAAATGGTCAAAATAAGTAAAGAGATGCAGAACCTTCAGACCTCAAACAATGTAAAGAAAACAAGTTCATATTCATGTAGAAACAACAAAACTGATGTTTTAACACATAAATCAATATTTGGTGGAATAACCAGGAGGTTTTCAGTGCAGTGGGCTCTATATATCCAATAATCGATTAATCTGATTAATCGTTTCAGCCTGCTACTACTCCAGCCCTCCTTATGCAACACCACATCTAGATCTGCAGACACAAAGCCGCTCCGGCTCCTCTGTACTTTTCCATCAGAGTCCTTAAAGTAAAAATATCGTCTCCTTCTGGGCAGGAAACCATATTGATCCTCACTTCTGACCCAACCCTCGCTCCCACAGCTTCATTGTATGACTCATTAGCTTTATTCCTCTACAGTTGCCACCATTCTGTACGTCTTGTTTTTAAACCTCCTCACCACAAAATGTTCAGCAATATTGAGCCTTTTTCCCAGCATTTTCTCTGCTGCTCTCTAAAGCTGCCCCCCAGGACGCCCGTCGTCATCCTCTAAAAACAGCAGTCGCTGTTGTCTGTTGCTCAGGTTACCGCCAGCTGTCTGTCTCTGTTCGGCTCTTTCTTCAGTCTGGATTTAAACTCTTCAGTCGTAACTTTTTGCTCATCAAACAGCTCTCTGCTGTCAGTCTTGTGAAATGCCCCCCACTGAGCTGCACTTTCTGGTTTAAAAAAAAAAAGCCCAGTACAGAGAGGAACTTTCTGTCAGAATCAAAAGTCTGCAGAATATTTCTGCTGAGTTCATTCAGTTGTAAAGGTTAAGCCAGGCCGGCTGCAGATGCCAATACATCAAGAGGAAAGTTTTAGATTTTACTCCTTTGCTCCTCTATTTATATGCAAAAAGAATTTGACCTGATATTGTGTCCCCTTTTCAATCTATATTCCACCCACGACAAAATATAGAGCAGACAAACTGCAATCTTAACAAGTCAGTGTAAATTAGTTTTTTCTCACCCAATCTCTCCTAACTTGCTGTTTCTTGCAGTTTATCACATTCGCACAATTCTCCAGACTTCTCAGTCCTTTACAGCGTTATAACATCTAAAAATATAAATATTCTCTACAAACTTTGGGTAGATGTAGCTTTGTAGTGTTTCTAAATTATATTTTACTTAATTTATAGGGGCAGAAGCTGCCCCTATAGCTGCTGTTTATTTTAATACATACAGTGAACCTGAGTGTGTTTGTCGTGAAGTCAACCTACATGACCAGAGATGAATAGAAAGGTTACACAGTCATTATCAGAGATAACCGTCTTTTAAAATGTATGACTTGTGTTTCAAGCACATTATAAGACCTTCAGGAGTGAAAACAATACACTTTTTATCTAAAAATTATGACCAAAACCATGAAACAGAGCTACACAAGAGAATAAAGTCCATTTATAGCTGTGGTTCCTAACCTTTTTTGAGGTACTGAACCCACCAGTTTCATATGCGCATTCACCAAACCCTTCTGTAGTGATAAATAAAATAGGATTTCTCCCCCAAACTCAAGACATAGGGGTGATCTACCTTAAGATCACTAAGTCTTCTTAAAAGGTAGACTCTCTGAGAACAGTTCTTCAAACTATAGTCAGTGTTTTCAGCAAAGTTGAGCTGACTGTCCAGGAACGACCCAAGGTATTTAAAATTTGGCACAGTTTCAACAGGCTGGCCATCGAGAGAAACTGGAACCACTTTAAGGTCTTGTTTAGATCATTTAATTAGCTCTACATTATTAAGATGATGAAAAATTAATAATAATAAATAAAGACTTTGTGGTATTCTGATTTAGTAATGTAATTATATTAGTTGTGTTACCACTCCACACCACTAGAGGCACTAGCAGGCCCAAAAAGATGCGACTAAGGTTTAGATTTAGAAGTACACCGAAAGCTACAGAATTTGGTAATCAGTGCTCCTCCGCAGCTCTGATTGGCTCAGCAATGTAACGTGATCCTCTGCAGCAAGTGATGGCAAAGTGGGGCGTCATCACGACTTTACACAAGTGTGTCTTTACCTCCGCGGCAGAGGCTCCGCCGAACCCCTGGGGTTCGATCGAACCCAGGTTAAGAACCACTGATTTATAGCAAGGCCTAACAATCTAAATTCCCTTCAAACAGAAAATATATACCTTCATAAGATTTGTATTAAATGTTTTAGCTTGCAGATGATATAACAAGTGTGTTAATATCTAAAGATACCTCAAACTCCTCTGCAATCTTGGGTCCATCCAGGAACAGCCTGGTGCTGAGGCAGTCCACCGGGCCAAAGTTAGCTGAATGAACAGAGGAGGAGATAAAATAAGCGGGCCTAAAAGTTTGTATTGTTGTTAGATTACCTTAACATTTACATGGAAGTGTCATAATCACACAAAGAGGCTGGGAGCAGATGCGGTGTGGGAAAAAAGAGAGACTAATATTATAAACCGGAGGTGTAATTAGCAGAAACTCAGATGAGATTAGCTCTGTGGCCGTGTACATTCTTCAGCGAAGCTGTGAATAAAACACCTCGGGCTAATTATCGAGCCTCGTAAAGGAGCAGCGGTGGTTTCTTCTGAACACTGCAATAAAGCCGAGGTTAATCCAGGTACCTGAATGATGCCGGAGCTGCCTGGATCCAACTGAATCATTCACAAGCGCCGACTCTAAAATGCCAAACAAAATCTTTTCCAGCCAGTGGTCTAATGTATTTCCAGCTACAGTCGCAAAACATCAGCACTAAGGGTTGAATTAAAAGCCAACACTGATCCAGCAGCAGGGCTGCTCACTCACAAGTGAACTCCTTGAACTCCTGGAACACCTTGGGGTACATGGCTGCTGACATCACATCCTCCGGGGTGATGTCATCCCCATGCGCGGCTCGGAGTTTGTCCTCCAGGGCCTTGAAGTCCATCGGTGACAGAGAGGCGCCGGGACGACCTTCGATACGTGGAAGGGACTTCAGCACCTGGGATTAAACACCGTGAGAGAATTTAGGAAAACCAAAATAAAACATACATACGTTTCCTGCAGAAAGCCTTTACAAACAAATGAACCTTGAAATGCCTTGAATCTGAAACCAAGTCCTCCAGAGAAACTAAAGCAGCCAACCAATGTAACTCTCTAGTATTACACCGATTTGGTAACATTTTATTTGAAGGGGTGTGCATAAGACAAACATGAAGGAGTTCATGGATGTTTGTCATTCAGTAAATATCGACACTTTTAATGGAAGTTTTAATGCAACGTTGCGTAAAATGTTGTCCTTCTATCACCTGAAGAACATTTCCAGGATTAAAGGACTAATGTCTCAAGATGCAGAGAAGCTCATCCATGCGTTTATCTTTAGTCACACTGATTACTGTTCAGTACCTTCACAGACCTGCCTAAAAAGATCAATTTGGTTTTAGTCAGAACGCTGCTGCTGGAGTTCTGACTAAAACCAGGAAGTTAGAGCACATCACATCAGATCTAAAGTCCCTACACTGACAGAACAGACTTTAAAATACTCCTGTTTATAAATAACTGAACGGCTTAGGTGCTATACAAATAAAATTTCATTTGATTTGATGATTTCCCGAATGACACTTCATGACAACGAACATTCTTGTTCATGTTTGTCTTCTGCACAGCCCTTCAAATGGAGTGTTGCCCACAGACTGCTTTTAGCTGCTCTTATTTTAATTCAGTTTTCGCTCCTTACAGACAAAGCAAATCAAACCCCCAAAGAAGAAGCTGGAGCTGACTGAAGAAAATAAACTCATTGTTTTATTCATTCTCAAACTAGAGTAGCTGCAACATGTTGCTTACATTCCTCCAGCTGATGGGATCTGCTGTGGAATCAATATCAGCTTTTAGTCTTCAATATGTTTCATTGACGGTGGAAGAAAATGTGTCGTATTCATGCGTGCCTGTCACCACGCATACGTGACTGAATCAGATCCAATTCATCTGGACTGCTGGTTAAAAACAGTCCACAATCTATCTTTTCATTGAGACTTTGTTGCATTAAAATCTGAAGAAAAATCCACTCCGTCGAGCTCCTCTTAGGAGAAATCCGGTTCAGCGAGGTCTGTGTGATCCGTAGGCAGACTGCAGCGGGTCAAACATGTTCAGGATTTATGACGTCTTAGTTTTTCAAAGCATCTTCACTGAGAAGGTCTGACCCATATGGCCAGACTTGGAAAAGTGGGTTGGTACTTTGAAAGCCTTTGAGAGCCACTGCAGTGCAGGGAGACGCAGACCACCACAGATATTCATATTTCCACATATTCACTCAGATATCATAAGCAACTTGGTGTTATGAGGAGACATGACAAAGTTTACATATGAAGTCAAACTGGGTTTATAGGTTCAGCTGTAAATAGTGATGGTACCTGCTGCTCTCTGCGCTGCGTCAGCCTCCATAAACAGTATGATGTGCTAGCTCTACTTTTGCACTTCTTGTTCCTTTAATTGGGTCGATAAAGGGGAAATAAGTCAGAACTTTTATCGTTAGTGTCTATGAACCGACTCCAGCTCCTGATGAAAGCTGTTCTTTGCTCTCGACCAGCTAGGAGTCGGTGCTGGAATCGGTCCTGCCTTACGACCCACGAACTGAACAGAAAGACAGCGAAGGCAGCGAAGTCAGAACTGGTTCTTATCTGCACAACCAATGGATGGAAGCGTCCAAGCGTAATCAGAGAAGGTTTAGTGGAAGAAAAAAAGAGGGCGTGTGTTAGAAAAATGTCCTCGGGTTAACGCTGCTTCCGGTTTGTCACCTGGATTTGCTGTCAGATGTGAGGTAACAGCGTTCTAGTTCTAGACGTTGAGATTTCAAAATGGCGGCGCCCATAAACATTGTTGGCAAAAGCTTTTAAACATCATTTTAAACTTTACTTTCCAAAAGCAAACATCACTTTTAATTTGTCCAGTTTAGAGTTGCAGGCGCTACATGTAAAACTGATTTCAGACACACTCGTGTGTGTCTTGTAAAATAAACAAGTCTCCACCACAGTTTACTACTCTGGATGAGAGAAGCGGCCATATTGAAACGTGCAAAAGTTCTAACTGGGAGTAGTGGAGTTGCTCCAAGCTTCCCAGTGGGAAATCCAGTGGAACAAGACATTTCTTCCTGTTTTATAAGTTAAAATGTTTTGTTCCACTGGCAGATCTCACTTTTAATTAGCACTTTTTCATCAATATTAAGAAGTTATTGACTTAAAACAAGCCCGTCTTGCTTGCTGAAAAGCTTCTTGTAAGTTATTTTGTCTTATTTCAAGTGTAATAAGACATTTGAACTAACGATTAGACAAATATACTTGGTTAGAGCTCGTATTTTTTGCAGTGAAGTTGATGTCGTCCATGCAGTCCAAGTATTGGCATCCACTGTTCAGTACATGAGTTTCAGCAGGTTGATGTTTTTGTGCTGAAATTCTGATTTCTACTAGTTTTATGCCATATTCAGATTTGGAGAGAATTAATCAAAATTAGGAGAAATATTTGAAATATAAGCTATACATTGAAGTAAATTATTTAATTGATATATTTTGTCTTTTTTTTTTTTTTTGAATATCTGGAGTTTTCAGCTCATTTCCAGGTGGAGGCCGGAGAGCAGAATGAATCTCGGTACAATTTAATCTGTCTCCCTCAGTGTTTCCTGCAAGAAGCAGCTTATAGCTCACCTCCACGGCTCGCTGTACGAGTCAGAATTAGTTAAACAGAATCGCTGCTAATCATCGCCCCCAGCTCACATACTTTTGTTAATTTTGTGTAAGTAGAGCCGTGTGTGTTTAGATAAAGACTCACACGATGCAGTCTCCTGGGTTGACACTGAGCAACTGTGTGTTTGAATATCATTAAAACCGCTGCTGTATCTTATCAGTGGGTGTGCGTGCATGCGTGTGTGCGTGTGTGTGTGTGTGTGTGTGTGTGTGTGTGTTAGCTCGCGCCTTGTGGAAATGTGCAGACAAAGGAGACGGTGCAACGCCATTAGTCACAGGGCGAGCAGTTCAGAGATAGCTGAGTCATTTGTGTTTGAGAGAGAGACTTCAAAGATGGCAGGCTCGCTGGAGTCCCTGCTCGTTAACGTCTTCTCCTCCGAGGACGTCTTCCGCTGAAACTCACTGATTGTTGAAGTGTGGGACACGTACAGACAACGGCAGAGTGTGTGGGAAAGTGCCTGTGTTAACAAATGAACCTCAAATTAAAAGGTATGTAAATTAGTCACAGCTAATGCACCAAAAGACGAGGAGTCACAATCAGATTAATACGAAACGAGCCGCTTCCCTGTTGCTAAAAACAAAGTGACAGGGAGGCAAAAACAAGCAAATTTCAGGTGATTAAAAGGTAATTACTTAAACACATCGAGGGAATAAAGACGGTGATTTCTGTATCTCTCTCGGGGAGAACTTATACTTTAAGCAAACTTTTCAAATTAAATGCAAAGATTTTGTTGATATTTATAGTTCAAGATTTACTCAGAAAAGAGAAAAAATGTTTGCTTTGCATCTGATGCACCGTTTAAAAACGAATGACTCATCAGGACAGAAGAGCAGAGAAAACTGGAGAAAATTACCTTTCAAATTCAAAAGTGCATCTAACAGCATTGATTGTTGAACACTGCCAGCAGTGAAAAAGATGCAGATCAAAACCGTCCGCCAGGTTTTACACGGACAAACAGCATGTCAGTTTCCATGCAGTCAATACGAAAACATATAATCTCATCAGAATCAAAACTTTTCTTTTAGACACAAACAATAAACCCGTTTTTTTTTTTGTTTTTTTACTTTAAATTCCACCTGCAAACATTTGCCTGCTTTCTGGTAACCCAAATCGCTCAGCAGAACTTTTAGCAGTTAAATAAATTCAACGTTTCTAATGACAGCTTAATGTTAGCTAGCTTTATACATTTAAAACCCAGTTCTGATGTGTGCTGATGATCACAATCCTCACTGATTACTCAGCTGAGTCCAAGTCTCCACCATCAAACTCAGATGGTGGAAAACAGATTAGTATATTTTAGAACAATCAGAGTTTGAGTTTACAACGTCAGCATCGTCCTGGACTGATGTTGACGTTGTAGCTAGATATCTTTAAGATTTAAATTAGTAGCTGTTTATTAATCCAGGTAAATGTTTGAGGTTAAACTGAGTTTTTCCACAGAGACAATGTCCTTCCAGAGGAATAAGAAAGTTTGAGCCGTTTGAGCCACGATGACAGGAAGTGCGCTTGGATGAGCCAGAAGGAAGTTTTGAAACCCAGAAGTTTATTTAATTAATCTGCTAACAGGGATACTGGTTATGGCATAGACAATCTGCAAAAATACTAAATCTTAGTACGCTTCATGCAACTTTTCAGCAAGAAATATGAGCTTTTTTTAGGTCAATAATTAGCAAATAAATTATCTTATAGCAGGATATTTTTCCCTTGTTACAAGTGAAATAATCTACCAATGGAACTGGTACTTTTTGATCAATATTAAAGATATAATGATTTAAAACAATCTCATATTTCTTTCTGAACAGTTACTTTTAGGTTAGTTTTGTTTTATTCCAGGCGTACTAAGATATTTGCATTAGAAACCAGACCAAACGTACTCGGTAAAATGCTGGGTTTTTTGTTTTAGTGCAGCAGATCCACTGGAAAATGATGCCAGAGACATTCAAACTGGTTTTAAAATTAAAAAATGAGGCTAATATTGAATCTTTTAGAATTATCCTTGACCTAAAGTACTGAAAAGATAGCCAAACTCTGCTAATAAGAGTGGTTAAATATCCGTTGATACACGTGAATGTTGAATTTAAATGTCAGATCTCAACTTTCCAAAATATATTACAGTTGTTCTTTTGTAAATTTGTCCTGCCCTGTTCAATTAACTGTTCAAATAATTCATTATAAGCCTAGCGTTAAGATAACATTCGTGCTGATGAGTACAAGTGGATCATCATGACCTGTCCAGGCTGTCGACTCCAGGGATGGTAAACGACAAACATCTGATCCAGAATCAGGAGCGGGATGAATAAATGCCAAGGTGAGCAGGATGACAGGAGTTAGAATCACAAAAGCAGGGAAACAATTACCTGGAAGACCTGGCCAGAAACTGGACAGACAAGCCTATAATGCAGCAATTTAGCAACAAACCAGAGTGAAAGCAAACATGAAGCAGACAGGAGAGATTATTAAAATCCTTCGGTTTCTGCAGAGATGCAAGTGTTCAAGCTGTTGGCAGCCTCAGAGTAAAAAAAATGGCTGACCTTTAAAAAGAGCAGGTATTGTCTCTCAGCCGATATTTCATATTTTACATACAGCTCAGTGTGTGTGAGTGAGTGTGTAAGTGGGCAAACCAACAGATTTCTTCTTCTAAAACACTATTTTTCTTTCTGTAAATGTCAAGTTCCCTCAGATCTGTTGGATGGAGATCGGAACAGCGTGACACACTTCTCTTCATTCACGTGTTGAGATTCTGCGAGGCTGCCAAACGGGCTGACGGCCTCTGACGTGCAGCACGAGGCTCTACCTGGCTGATTGCTGACGCGGAGGAAGGAGAACAGACACCAGGATGAAAGGAAGACAGAGAGAGCGGGGTTTTGTTTCCATCCTCTGAAGGACTCCGTCAGATGTAAGCAGAGCGTCTTTGGTTTAGATTTTTTTTATATCAATACATGAGCACAGGTTTGTAAACATGCATTTAGCTTGACGTTTCTCATAAAAGAGCAAAAGTGTTCAAGTTCAACAGCATTTTCAGTCAACTTTGGTTTTGTTCAGGTAGATTTGAGGTTCTCTGTGGCTGCGACGATTCCTCCAGTGAGTCGAAACAATATCTGCCTCAAAGCTCCGTTAAATTATGTTTTATTATTTAGCGCACCGTGTTGCATCTGGGTGATTATTTATGTTGCGCAATGCTCTCTTTTCCGCCTCTGAGCTGCTGCTAAGTGCTAGCAGCACAACATCTACAAAATTTTTAATGAGTTTGCCACGGCAGCTTCCTCCCACAGTCCAAAAACAAGACTTTTAGGTTATATATGTTTATTTTATACTCATGGGGGGGAAACTGCTGACTCAGCACCAACTCCCTCCTGCGGGAGGTTAAACCACATAAAGCCACTGAAACCGAAGCTGGCTCTTCAATGTGCCATTTCAGTGGATATTAATGAAAGCTTAGTGGAGGGAAAAAGTCTACCTTTACTTTAGATATTTCTGTATTAAGTTACTTTTATTGGTCTTCTACGATATTTAAATTTGGGATTTTCATTTGCAACATATAAAATAAATATTAAGGCCATGTTTGATTTAAACTTTATGAATTAAATTGTTGTTTTGATGATAGATTATGAATTAAATGTACCTGTAGACTGCATGTAAATAGTAGATATTCACTTAATTGGTTGTCAAAGAATATTCTGCAGCAGATGGCTGCTTTTTCTACCCAAAGCTGTTCAGGATAAAATGATAACTTCATAAATCCGAAGTGCAAATGAATTAAATGACCAGAAGCATCCACGCATGTTTGATTCCTAACTCCAGTACCTTGGATCTGAAGGGCTCGGGGAATCCACCGTGCGGTATTCCGACGTATCCCTGCAGGAACTCGACCACGGACTGGGGGAAGGACAGCTCGTCCGCCCGCTCCTCCACCTCCGCCCTGGTCAGGTTGTTCTGCACCATGAACTGAGCCAGATCTCCAACGATCTTGGAGGACGGAGTCACCTAGGGAAAGAGAGGAGCGTTGGTGTTAAAGAGCCTGTTCTAGGTAAAGACCAGACAGAGCCACATTATCTCAAGCCAACAGGGGGCGCTGTTTGTTTGTTTCCTGGTAAAATAAAATTCAGAAATTCAGTGGAAGAACGAACTGATAGTTTAAACATTCATCTATTTACTGTCTTAATAATCACACTGATATGAGATATTTCACTCTCAGGAACCTCTCATTACTTGCTTTATATAGACTGTGGTGGTGGCAGCATTATGCTATGGGGATGCTGTTTCAAAAGAAGAAGATTGTTGTAGCTAAATGCACATAGAGAAATTCTGGAAGGTTTATCTTCCAGCAAAACGACACTTATGTGTTTGAATGGTGTCCTAGTCAAAGTCATGATCTTGGAAAAAAATCAAAGTCAAAATCTTGATCTTGTTAAGACTTAAATATTAATGTTCAGAGATGTTCTCCACCTAATCTGACTGAACTTGAGCTATTTTGCAAATAGCTCAAGTTCAAATAGAAGCCAGCTTGAGGGATTATTCAAAACGTTTGCAGCTATAATCACAACTGAATACGACTCTACTGAATGAAAATGCATGCCACACCTTTCAGATTTAAAATGAATGTCCTTTGATCTATCAGGTAAAATTAAAATCCATCAGAGTTTGGGACCAAAACTCAAACTCAAAGGGGGAAAAATAATTTCTCAGGGTTTAAAAATAAACCAGAACATAAAGCAGCGGAAAATGAAAGACGAATTAAAATCACAAGCAATATTTTTTATGTTCCATAATTACGGCAGCAGTTCCTGCTGCATAACGTTGATTAGCTGACGCCTTGCTGGCGGAACGGGACACTGATGGGAATATCGACTGGAGAAATTGCTCCTCTGTTATAATGAAGAGACGGATTCAAAGCTGCTTTCTTCTGGGGAATCAGAGCTTCAAAAAGGGCGGAAAGAGTCGACTTAATCTGTAACCACCAGACTGCACCCACCGCACTGTTCCACAGTTTCTACCCAAAACTTCAACCTGTAAGTGCAACGGGAAAGATTGGAGGGAAACCCTTTAAACTGAAAACTCTGCACCGTGCAGGAAGCGAATAAAAAGAGCCTGAGAATAAAAAGAGCCTGAGAATAAAAAGAGCCTGAGAATAAAAAGAGCCTGAGAATAAAAAGAGCCTGAGCAGGTGTGGATTCAGTGAAACATTTTCCTGCTGACGAGACGTCCTGAGTGAAACCTGAAGCGCTCTCACTCCTCAGGGATTTCCTCAATCTTCTGGGGTTTGGGTGCTTGTCGAAGCACGATACAAATAAGAAATACTCCCTGATAAATGAGGAGAGTGTACACTTTGCTGCTACAAAACCTACATCTTGGTTTGACTGGCATTTGAAAAGATAATGATGGATTCCTCTCCCTTTTGTTTGCAGGAAGGCTTAAGTGATTTGAATGGGTTTTTAAAATCCCTGGAGAGGCCATTATGTTGGAAATGCTGAGCAAAAGTTCATGTCGGAGTTGCCTTAACATACAGCAGAACCAATCTGCCTTTGTCCTTTCACCGCCATGTTGAAATTGGTTTGTCGTGTTTAAAATTAATTTTACAAATGAGCGTTCGTACATTGTGAACAGCCTTTTTACAAGGTGGGTCAGATCTGAAGTCTCGGTGTGGATCAAAGCATTTTTAGACCATAATAATCATCATTTCTTCTGATTTTATGTCAGATTCGTCACTTTTTCCTCTTCTTTTATATTCAATCCTCTCCCGTTTCCTGCCTTCTTTTTCACAGCCCAAATATTTATTATTCCTGGATCCACAGTGACATCAAGACTGTTGATATTTGTTGATAAACCAGACACCTCTGACTTCAATATCAGATATATTAACTCTGAACCTTTGAGTGTTTTCTTGAAAAAAGGTGAATAATATCCAAACTTCTTCTAAAAGTCCTTTGTAGTTTGAGAGGTAGCTGAAATAAATGTTCTTTATAAGCTTTTATTTTGTTGTTCAGTCTGCAGACAAGCAATTTACAGAACCTACTGATCACTGTTGCTATGAAACTGATGAAAAATAACTGAATATCGTTTAATTTCAATATGGAACTTGTATATAATAAAGAAACTTTCAAGTCTTGTGAGAAAAAAAGCAGCAGAACTCGACTCTGATCTCAATAACATCGCGCCCAGCAAAACCACCAATCCCAGTTATTGGAAACACGATTATGAGCAGATAATAATGTTGGGGTCTGAGAAAGGAGCCAACTACAAGTTTCTGATCCTATACGGCCCAAACATGAGGGCTCGTGTGCAGGAGTTTCATTTGAAGCCAGCTTCTCCGCTTCACGGTGGCTCTGGAGGAATCTCAGGGTGAATGATGTTTGCTGGGATGATATTATATAAATATAACCTACAGAAGGCTGCAGTTCCTGAGGCCCGCAGCGTAAAGCATCAGGTAATATAAATATCTGAAGCCCTTTTTGGACGATAACTGGAAAGAAAATGGACCAGAACTGAGCTCACTTTTAAATATTGTGATTGTTTTTGAGGCGGTCAGCTTAAATACTTCGTTCCTATAGGGGTGGATGTTGGGAATTAAACACTGTGATGCAATTATTAGACTATCTTAGGACGATGGCCACTTGGGTCAGGGGCATTGAACTCACTTTCATTTTGGGCCAAATCAAAAATCTGAATGTTCTTAAAGGGCCAGCTGTTCCAGAATGTCTTGATAAAACCCATGAAACTGTTAAAATATTAGTAATCAGTTGTTTGTTTCAGCATTCAGTAAGTGTTTCCTAAAATTAAATAATATTGACCATTTTTTCACACCGATCAGTCCAAGTAAGGCTGAGGTGTGCCGTCACTTAAACCCAGCGTTTCTGACCAATTTTGAGAGAAATTTGCTGTAAAAATCTGAAAATCTGTTGGTTTTGTGTGAATCTTGCAGTTTTGTGAAAAACTGCAGGAACTAATTGATGTAATTTGGAGACCAGAGGGCCACATAGGAAGCTACAGCGGGCAAGATTTGGCCCCCGGGCCTTCAGTTTGACACCGGTGACTTAGAGGGAATCCGCATAACTCGGCTTTTCACAATAAATTTAGCTGGATGACAAACTGTCCCAAAAATTACTGTGATAAACAACAACACTGTTGCTCTCAGACATAATAATGCAAGTTTGTTTTCACAAAGTTCAACAAACTTTAATTTTGTAAAGAACAATCCACTCTCTGGTTGAGGGAGATATTTAAAATTTTTGAAATTATTTTTTTAAATACATTTTTTATTTATTTTACCAAATAAAATACAATTGAAAACAAAAATTCAGTTTATTTTTTGTTGATGAATAAAATGAAAAGAAACCCTACTTACAACCAAAACCATAAAAAGTGGATTATGATTTCTCTCCAGGCAAAATTTTTCTCTCCCAAAAATATTAACCATCATTTTAATGCATCATGTGATTAATTGATTATTGCAGCCAGCTGATAAAACCTCTTGATCAGAACTTGGCTGTCCATTTAAAGCATCCTGCCTCTCAGTAAGTGGACATGCATGACTCCACATCTGCGATATTGCAAAGCTGCAGCAGGGAGACGGATTGCGTCTGTGCGTGGAGGAATGGCGGCGATATTGTGTGTGCTTGTATGCCTCTGCGCCCTGTGTCAGTGTGCTTTGCTCACATTTGCTTCGAAATGCAACTCCATCCAAACCCGGGCTCCCCTAATGGGAAAAGGATTATATCACTCAGAACGGCGAGCGTGCATCTGCTGGTGTGTGCGGGTCGAGAGGCAAATAAAACACACAGACAATAATGCGAGCCAGCCAAGCCAGTGAAGGATGGTACCTGTCAGGAGGAGGAGGGAAGAGAGAGGAGTGATAATAAGAGGCTCAGAGGAGGAGAGCAGGAATGATAGAAAGATTAGAGATACATAAAGGAAGTCTAATCGAAATGAGAGAAGATGGGAGCAATTGATGAGGGAGGAGATAAAACTAAATGAAAGAGGAGAGAGATGGCGGGGAGTTGCAGCGAGAGTGAGAGGGAGACATAAAGGGATGGACAGATTAAGAAAGAAAGCAGCAAACAGACAGGAGCCGTCGACATCTACAGCCCCACAGGCAATACAAGACGTGCTCCACCTCCGAGTCTAACAGACTGCGTGTTCGAGAGAGTGCAGGTGAGTGAATACGTGCCTGTAATTGCAAAAGGAAAGTGGCAGAAACACTGAGGCGAACGAAAAAGAGGGCAGCCGTACAAAAATATACACAAGTCACATCAAGCTCAGACGGCGACAGCTTCAGCAAAGGCGAGAGGAAGGAAGGAAGGGTTGATGAAAAAAGGAGTGCAGCAGAAGTTTGAGGAGAGAAAACAAACAGGGCCAGGGCTTTTGGAGAGCTGGAAAACCTCCAAACAGACAAGTCAATGCCAATTAATGGCGCCCTTCCTCCTGTAATTCACCGAATGTTGCAGCATCGTTAGCTCTGTCAGAGATTATATTGTTAAAACGGCACCGCTGGGCATCTGAGCAGGTGAGTTCAGACTGATATTCCTGCTGTTCAGCGAACGCACCTTCAAGCAAAAACGATATGAGGCAGCAAAAGAGCAGAAAACAGATCAGTTGTTACAATTATCCTCTGGCAAAGAGGGATTTATACTGCAGCCTCACGCCGAGCAGGAGGGAACAGATTCAGCTGGTTGGGAACAACGAGACGGTGGGGATTTAAAGAATAATTACCAAAGATCAATACTGATCTGCAACAGGAGGGAGGGATGGATGACCAGCAGAGGTGATGATGACATAAATTAAATGTTTTCCCTCCATTAAACTTTCCTACTTAAATTCAGATTTCTACCCGTTTTAATCTGATTTCTCCGTTTTGCGTTAAAGTGGGGAGGGAAGCGAGCCTCATTCCTGAAAACATCGATTTGAAACCCACATCTACACATGGATATAAAATAAGAGGTACTTTTGCAGTAATCATCTTTTTGTGGTATTATTATATCACACCAAGTAAATGGTTCATTAGCACCTCTGAATAAACAAATTAAACAATTTCAGGTTACCATCAGACGGCTGTTCTCTTTCATGAATCGATATTCAGCAGCAGGTGATGTTTTACCTCTGATTGTTCATTCTGTCCTCAAAATATGACGTTGTGGTTGGATATGAGTCGCACGTTAAGCTACAGATTTCATGTGTGTCCAACTGAATTTATGTCCCAGTTCAACATAAATGCTTATGATTTAATTAGAACAGGAGTAAAAATACCCTCAGCATTAAAGGGCCTTTGATCAGTTCAGTCACAGGAGTTTCACATCGGACCGAACCCGCCCCGTTAATGATGCAGCAGCCGTGCAGTTTGCATGTACAGTAGTTTGGGACCAATTAGCCACGGCGGAAGCTCGATCCACAGTTTCTAAATGGGAGGAGAGAAGTTTGCGCTAACTATGAGGATGATGGATGTGGAGGCATGAAACGTCGGGTTTATGCTCCTGAGGGCGGTCCATTGATCTGAGAGCAAACAGTTCTGCACATTAAGTTGGACATTGGGTGAAGTTTGTGTGTGCAGCCATAAGATCAGGAGGTATTCTGCTGTTTGCAGTGGAGAGCCTCCTGCAGCTCTGTAAATCTGTCTTTTTTTGGTTAAAATGATCATAACAGAGCCACACTGTCAGTGATTTCAGCTTTTAGTTCGGAAATCGGCCTTTATGGTTTGTCTGATATGCAAAAGATCCAAAAGAACAATTATTCAGATTTTAAGAATCAGAAAAATGTCTTTTACTGACGCATTTATCACAGCGGCTCTGCAGTGTTTATCAGGACTGGATAACTGGTAAAAACTAGAAAAGTATTTGTTTTTCCAGACTTCATTCCCTGGTCCATTGTCTAGAAGTAGTTTCTTTTTTATTTAGCCATCCATCAGTTTTTCTTCCATGACGTTTTCAGGAACTCTACGGCAATTTTTCTCCAAATTTTAATTGGATTTCAATTTATACAACAATGGGTGAAAATCTACCTTGAATTAAAATAGTAATGTTTTATGGTGCTAAACTTTTAATTCATGTCATCATCACCTCTACTAGTCATGTTGTGTTTTGACTTCAACGTTATGTGACAGCAGTTCTGTATGTCTGGAGACATTTATATGAAGCCACTCAGTTTCCTTTCACATAAACATATAAAATCAGATCTAAGAGTCATTAAATGTGTGCAAGTCATCTCGTGTAGCAAACTGTACAGTTGCAAAATTTTGGGACGTAACATTTTGGAAAAGACACACAAGTTTTAAAATCTTTTCAATGTTGAGACATAAACGATTTCTGCTAGCGATTCTGGGTCGTTAGCGTGGAAAGCCAGTGATGCTGCAGTGATGATGGAGTGAAGGAAATGATATCTCTCTTTAGACAGAGATCTATAAATGCATAGATGTAGACAGAATAGTTAAGATGCATCACATTGCAGACAACTTGACCTCCATTCTTTGCTATGAAGGCACCAATTTAAGCAACTTAGGAAACTAAAAAAAGCTCAAGTTGCATCAGGCCTGAATGGGTTAAGAGTCTGTTTGGATGCTCTGGAGCTTCAAAACAGATTTAAACCTAAAGAGTCTTTTTGAAGCAAATTACTTTTATGCAAATACCTCGGTGATGATTACAACTTCTCAAAACGAGCTTCTTTTGTGTTTCATTGTTCTCAAAATGAAAAGTTGTGCAAATGAAGTTCTTTGAATCCTTCAGGGGCAGACTTCAGAGATAGCTCTGAGTTTGAGAGCTTTCTGCCGTAAAGGGCATGCAGGGGACGGTCTGCATACTGCCAGCACATTATGTGGTCTGTCCACTTTACGTCTACGTCTCGTAAGCGCGCTCCTTCACCGTTATAGACAAGCTGACAGGGAGAGACGCAGGCATTGTCAAGCTAACAGGGTGCAGCAGAGAGCAGCGCCGCGCCCGTAGGCACGCGGAGCCAACATTGGCTTGTGCAGTGAAGCCCACAGAGTCTTAATTGAATTGATAGAGAACATGGAGAGAGAGAAGGAGAGAGGGGAAGTTGGAGAGAGAATTGATGAGCAAAACAGAAATGGAAAGTAGAGAGGAAAGCAGAGGCAAGAATCTAAAAAACATAGGAGACAAGATAAATAGATATGGAGCTGACTGAGGAATAAACATTCGCAACAAAATGAGAGAACAGAGACCAGAAAGGTTTGATAAAGAGGTAAGAGGAAAACAATTAGAGTGTGAACACAATAAAAGAGGAATGCATCTATTATGAGGATGGTAAATAATGAAGGAAAACAAAGGGTTTAATGAAAGATAATGAGGAACAGAAAGGCAGGCAGGAGGTAAATCCTGGGCGCAAATCAAACTGTTGAATGGATAATATCGTTTCTCCACATGGCGGCAATTAAAGTTTCCTTTAAGAGATCAAACTGAAGACATCATGAACCGGCCTGAAACGTGGCTCCAGCGATAAATGAGAGGATGGAGAAAAGTGCAACAACTGCAGTCCTGGCTCCACCAAGGAGTTATTAGATTAAACGCAATTAATGGCTGCTCACTAAACAAAAAGAATGAAAATTAGCTCTAAAAAAATCTAATTTTCACTCAGCTTTAGCTCAGGCATAAAGCGACCTACAAGCATCGTGTAAGTGATGTGACGGTTAGCTCAGGGGAACGTGTTAATGAAGACAGAGCAGCTGATTTCTGACTGAATTACACGAGCAAAATGGTCGCTTTAAAAGAGAGCGGTGCTGCAAATCCTTCTTTAATCCACTGTGGTCGCATCAGAGATAACACAACCTGCTGGTTCATCTGTGTTGAAATTAGCCTCGTAGCGAATCATCATCAACATCGGTGAGAAAGCGTAGGGAGATTAGAAACGTCAGTCCGAACTACTTAGTGGAGGAGCATTGGTGTGAAGGAGGAGTGTTGGAAAGAGCAGGAGCTTCTTAAAGAGACAGAGACCCAATTTCAAACCGTTAAATTGCAAAATCAAATTTCGTTTCAGTTATGTTTGGCATGTATGCAGCATTTTTATAACAGCTGAAGGCAACACAGAAAAGAATACACTTTAACGTCCCTTTGGGGAAATTTGTCATGAGCTCAACGGTGTGTGTGTGTAAAATAAATACAAGTACAGCACATCTATGAACACACACAGACGACAGTTTAAAAACAACAGGACGTCGGGCTGGGAAATATGGCTGGAAACGGCATCATTTGGATAATTATCGATTAGTTTTTAGTTGTAAATATCTGGTCAAACTGTTCCTGTTTCACTCACAGTTCTCACTCAGTGCTGCTGTTTCTTATATTTAAGTAGTTACGAGGCACAGCGCTGAAACCTTAAACTGCTGCTGCGTCAGTTACTCAACAGGTTGTTGCTAGGTAACCAGAGAGAGAGCGAGTTGCTAGGTAACCACATAGTGCTCAGCTGGCTGCCGCTGGACGAGCGGTTGAAGTCTTTTTTTTCTGCCTACATCCCCACAATGCTGTGCGCTTCTGAATCACGCGTCCATCGCCGTGTGTTTTGCTACCGATTTATTTTACAGTCCTAACAGAAAACCAAAGCTACTGAACACCTTCCATGCCTCAACGCAACGTTCGTTTAAAATTTTAATTCAACATTTTGAGGGAGGTGGGTACAGTTTTTGGGGATTTCTGTAACTTTTACTGGAAGGCAAGAACTTATATTCCATATACAGGAACCAACGGTACCGTATAGCTACTTTATTGCGCTAAAAAAAGGCATTATGGACCTGGAAAACACATAATACTGCTCTACGTTTAATCTGCTTTGGTACATAAATCTGAAGATTCGATAACACTTTATTTGACGGCATGTACATAAGACTGACATGACAAACATGATATAACATCTGTCATGAACATGAAGGAGCCTTTATGAATGTCTATGACAGTTGTCATGAAGTGTCATTCGGTAAATAATGACACTTTTAATGCAAAGTTTCTCTAAAAGTTGCATTAAAAGTGTCAGCTTTGCATTATTTTCAAAATAATGACACTTTAATGCAAAGTTGGCACTTTTACTGGACTTTTAATGCAACTTTGCATTAACTCAGACTTTCATAAAGGCTCCTTCATGTTTGATGTCATGTTTATGATGCTGTCATGTCAGTCTTACGCTCACCCCATCAAATAAAGTGATACCAAATATCCTTATAATTCATACATTTTGGATCTAAAGCTGTTACCCCCATCACAGAACCTGCAGAACCTTATCTTCTTATGTTTCATAAACCTTGAGAGAGAAAAAATTAATTGGACAAAATTGCAGCCAGCGGGTCGAACCTCAAAGAAAACCGGAAAAACCCGATTGTAGCAACATTTGGCAATTAATATTAATTCTGGGGTTGTAATCGGCTCTGCAAACGGCTGCTGAATGGGACAAACCTGCAGAGCAAACCCTGCTGCCTGTCCTGCTCAGAGAGCGCTGTTCGCTACAACCTCACAGGAGATAAACTATGGCTTCTGTCATGTCAGTAATAGACATATTTACTCAAATAAAATCCTCCTTCATCTGTTCCGAGATAAAAGTAGTGAGGAGTAAACTTGCACATTGTTATGCAAGTAGAGCAAGAGGTGTTGTTCATTAGATTCAGTAAATGTGACCGATGCCGGTGGAAGAATATTAAACACACCGCAGTCATATTTGTGTATTCAGCAGAGCGCTGCAGATGAAATTGTGTATTTTGCATTTATTGCCATAAACGCAAAGTCTGCTTGACTTACAGTTGTGAGCGGACGCAGACCTGTTTGCCTCGCCGCGCCTTGCATTTAGGGTGAAATCAGAAAATTGTAAACAGGATTTTTCTATTTCTGGACGAATAGTGCCAAGCTCTCCATCAAAGCCAAACCAGGATCATTACATACGTGTTTGCAGTTACGCTGCTGTTGCCAGGAGTGTTGTGTTCCCGTCTCACCTTAATGAGGTCTCCCAGTAGCTTGTTTGCTTCAGCGTAAGCCTTCTTCACCTCCTTGAACTTATTTCCGAGCCCCATACTATGAGCCTGCAATGAAACGGACCACAGCAGGGATGAGCAGCACATACAAACCTTTTATTACCTTCCTTTCTAAAGGAAGGAAGTCAAGTAATGCTTGCCTGGTCAGTGGCTTCAAATTGCTGCTGCAGCATCAGAAGCCTTGAAGATCAGCACACACACTATTGTTAAATGTGATTTGCAACATATTTTTTGCTTCCGGAGACGGATACGTTTTTGTTTATCAATTTATTTTTGACAAGTATACAGCTCTAGGAAATAACTTTAAATTATCTAACTGGGAATGTGGAATAACAGGGTAAAAACCAAAGTAATCTGCTGGAAATGGTTTGTTTCAATCTCTGTACTTTTAGTCAGAACAACCTGTTATTCTACAGAGATGGCTTCCCAGAATCTTAAAAATGTTTCCACGGTCCGCTGGCAGCACACACAAGGTGCCAATGAAGTAATTTGGACGGACAAGATGAGTTTGTTAGGGACGCACCAGCCATTTTGGGCCGCAGCAAAAATTTTGAATGTTCTTAAAGGGCCGGTTGTGCCAGAATCTATTGATCAAACCCATTAAATTGTTAAAATATCAATGAATAGCTGTTTGTTGTTTATAAAAATCTAATAATACTGAACGTCTTTTCTCAGCGATCAGTCAGTTCATCCAGGATTTCATCAGTGTTTGTGTCAAAATGACGGATTTTTTGTTGCTAATTCAGAAACATTTGTAAGGAATTTTTGCGATATTTGCTAAATGTTGAGTTTAAATGACTTAAGTCATTTAAACTCAATGCTTTTGACCAATTTTTGAGAAAAATTTGCCTTAAAAAAATGTGGCAATATGTTAATTTTGTGTGAATTTTGCAAGTTTGAGAAAAAACTTGAGGGACTAATTGATGTAATTTAGAGTCCAGAGGGTCACATAAAAAGCAACAGCGGGCCAGATTTGGCCCCCGGGCCTTCAGTTTGACACTAACCTGACCTGCCAAATCAGATTTTAATCCATACAGACTTTCTTAATCTGCAAAAGTGCTAAAGACAACAACAGGAGATCAGTTGTTCTCCCAGAACTAAGGAAATTGGTAATAAATTATCAGCCAGTTGATTTATTGACACATTTCTAATTTTTAGCTACAATGATTGAAAAGAAAAAGATAAAAATCCTTTTAAGATTTTCTACACATTTCTCAAATCTGCCTCTAACACAAAACGTCCGTTCCAAAAAGCTGACAAAAGCAAAAACTATGAGCTGTGATGCTAAATTCAACTAATACTTGTAACTGAACCGTTAGCTACGTTCTCTCCACAAAATGAAATAAAATCCAATTTGCTTTCATATTGAAAATAAAAATCAATCTGTGCGACGTTGACGACATGGAAGGACATCAACCTGGAAGTGCAGGTTGGTGTACTGTCCTCCGGGTATCTCGTTCTCGTAGACATCGGCGTTGCCCGACTTCATGGTGGCGGTGCAGTCGAAGGGAGCGTACAGGCCTCTGGTGACCTCCCAGTACTCGCTGTAGTCGAACACCTTCTCCAGAGCGATGCCTGCAACACCAGACGGCAAATCAATGATCACTGCAGTGAGACGAAAATCTGGAAATATTCGCAGAGTCGGCAGGATTGTGATGGGAGAGGCAGTTTGTGGCTCGGATCAAATGTAAATCGTGAAAACTTTTTGATGATCTGACACCAACAACTTTGTTGTGAAACCGCAACTTTTTTTTTTTATTTATCAGATAAATTACAGCATAAACTAATTTACAGTTTCTATTACAATGTTGCATTTGCAGTGACAACCAGTGTAAGAGCTCATCATTTATCAGAATTTATGAAGATGTTTGCCTTCTCGCAACATGTGCCAGCTGATAACATCAGCAATTAATTTGAATGCATGACACAATAAACAAGAAATTTCTCAGTTTTTAAAGACAACTAAACATCTCAGCATGGGTCTAAATGTTGCTGGTTTCTGCAGCAAAACATGGTTCAATAATCACCATGTTTCTCACAGATGATCTGATATATTCAGCAGCTCTTATTAGCACAAGCTTAAAAAGCTGTTCAGTATTCTTGTCTAGTCTCTAATATTTTGTGAACCGTCCGTTTCTCCTTTGTGCAACATCCTTCTGTCAGTTGTTTACCTTTAATTGGAAAAAGGAGCCCTGGTGCTGAGGCACAAACGGCTCTACATTTTGTATTTTTGCAAACAAAAGGCGTAAAAAAAAAAAAAAAAAGCTGTTGTGACCAAGTGACAAGGTTGTAATTTAAAATTAGAAAAAGAAACACCAAAGTGTTTCTGTGCCTAAATTGTGATCCCGGTGAAGAAATAGGGCGAGTGCGATGTTAATGTGAAATTAATGTGCATGTAGCTGCTCCTCAAACTCAGCTGCCTGCCAAGCCGGTGGGTAATTGGGTCCATTTCCTTCTCTGCTTGCAAACACACACACTTCTTGGAGGTTTCCTTTAAGCTTCCAGAGTGAAATTACAGCTTCATTTTTACACAGGAAAGAGGAATTATGATCAGAGAGCAGCAATCTTGAATAGCAGAGAAAGCATTTTTATCAAGTGATCAGTAAAACAATGCAGGGGGAAGTGGGGTAAGACGAGCCAGTGGGCAAACTGACCCACTCTGTATCTAGGCAGTGGTGCACATTTGTTAAAACAAATATCCTCCAATTTGGAGTCCCTCTAATCGGGGGAAGCATGTGGTGATGTCTTAAAGGTGTTTTATGTACAAGATGACAGTGTTTTGCTCGTCAAAGTACATTTTAGCTATAATAACTCACGTGAAAGCAAAATGTGTCAATGTCATTTTATCTGTCGCTCAAACAAGCACAAAGAAAACCTGATAAATCATGGAGAGAACAAATACTTAGGAATAATTGTACATTACACCACATTATGACAGCAGTAAAAAGGTTAGAACATGAAGCCCAGGAGAAATCTCGCTAATGCTGCAATGCTCAGGGACACGGAGATGAAGGTTTGTGCTGCTCCTCATCTTTCAAAGCAAATGTTGTGAGCAAACAAGAACTAAATCAAACAGCTGCAGCGTCGCACATCATTGTCAGATATCAGTCACCAGCAGATTAAATGGAGCAAAGATAAGTATTAGAAACAAAACAGACAAATCAAAACGAGGACCTGAATGTTTGTGAGCGAGGATTTCAGACCGGCTCATGACCCGCAACCGTTTTCAGCTCACTTAACATGGAGATGCACCTGTGCTTTATACCATTATTACTCTTTCACTGGCACATTTTAGTCTTTGTGTAAATGTTTTAATGCACTTAAATTCAATGTTTACATTTTTAAACCTCGTTGTTAGGAGTGCTTTCTTAAAAATCCCAATTTGGAACAAATTTAAGTTTTAAAGTCACTGTTTGATAAGGTCAGGTAAACAAGACATTTCAAAGTGCTTCACATGAATTAGAGGAAATACAAACAAAAGAACTGCAAAGAAAAAACAGCAAACAAAAGTGCTTCACAATTACAGGCTGGTAGGAGTTTCTCTAAGGAATAAGAATAAGTAATCCACAATTTACAAACTAACAGGAGCTAAGTGGCATGTTTTGTTATGCATTAATAATCAAATTAGATTTTAATATGGTCTAAAACTTTAAATAATGCAAAGCTTACAATCTACAAAGATGAAAATCTCACATTATTTCTTATAATCTGATTTTTGTGATCCTAAATGACGCAAAATTTTAGTCTGATTTCATGTCAAGAAACAGGATATACATCTGATTTCAGCCGTTGGTTGTTTACAGTATTTGCTTCGTCTTTGATTTCTCTTATTTCTCATTTTTTTCAGAAAATGTCTGTAAAACTTGACTTGGCAGCAAACCCAGTTCTGATTCTGATTTGTGTGCATTCGACTCCTCCACCTTGGTCGACTGCGGCATCAATTAAAGCCATGCATGATGCATGAGGAGCGAATGCAGTCAAACACAAGGACCACTTTAATATGCATCATCATTCAAACTGAATCATCTGTCACACTTAAATTGCACAGGTGTGTGTGCGCAGATCGGCGCTTCCTGAGTACACACAATGACATTTTAAACAAATTTAACAATTTTTCCAGGGCAAAGAAAATAATATGAAAATGGAAGAAAATGAGCAGTGGGAGTGATCTGGGTATAAGAAGCTGGTAATGGCATTGTCACAGACTGGGAGAGAAAGGAAGAGGAGGATGTGGAGACAATGTGACAGAAGCAGGTATGAGAGCTGAGGGAGAGAGGGATGGAGACGGTGCACAGCGATGATTACAGGTTTGGAGCCAAGACAGGAGAAAGAGGGAGTGTGGGAGTAAAGGAAAGCAGTAAACAGGCAAAGGTCAGGAAGGTATGGAGGAATCCAACGGAGAGGCGCGCTTGATTACGAAGTGGTGAGGTAGGCAAGACGAGTTGGAGGAGGGAACTGGCATTAAGTGAGCCAAAGATGAAAAGAGGAAAGCAGCAGAAAGTGACAGTAATGAAAGCATTAGGTAGAGAGGAGCGAGTCAGCCGGGGTCGCGCAGAATCAACACATGTAGCAATGCAGAGGCGAAGTCTCTCACCTGCATACCGGCCTCATCTTTTTTTGGTTTTTCTGGCCTCAAATTGAAATTCAGCCTCCAAACTGAGCCGTGTCTCAGCAACATATCACGCTTCCTGCGTGGCCCCGGCTGATATCAGCTTGTTCCACAATCTGAGCGTGAACCTGCCGCCGCCTGCTCTGAGCAAACGCGTCGATGGCGAGCGAGAGCAGCGGCCATGCAAAAACGTTTCCCACTAAAAGCCCGAGTCACAGCGAGAACGCAGCGTGTTTTAATGGCTCTGTTGCTGCGGGGCTCACGACAAAAACAACAACAAATGTTCCGGTTCATGATGAATTTTGCTTTTCCTGTGAGCGATTGTTTGAATATCTCTGCAGAGAAAAGTCAGACCAGCGAAGAAGTCAATTTAGCTGCCAGGACACCTGCAGGGTCAGACTCCACCAGTAGTTTATTGGTGTATTATGTTTGACAAAAAGCACCACAGTTCCTCTGGGAATATTGACAGGACATCATGTTGTCCGTTTCGCCGTTCATCCACGGAAAAGAGGTTTGATAAAAGAAAAAAAATGCCTCAAATGCAAGAAAAAACACAGTTTTAGTTGGAAATCCTTTAGAGTTAATGTGTAACCTATGTGGAGAAATGAGCAACAGGTCAAAACAAAACACAATTTGTTTCCAAACTTTCTTATATCTTATCAAAAAAAATTATTTTAGTTTTCCATCATGTTTTAAAGTTATTCTCTCATCATAAACATACCTGGAGTGTTGCTTTGACTCATTCATGCATGTTTGAGAAATCATTTAATCACTTGTGGCAAAAAGTGTCGCCTATTTCCACAAAATCAGTCTCCACCCACTTGGCACCTGCAGACTAGCGGTAGCAGCAGTTGGCAAACACCTGGTGGATATGCGTGTCTGCTGAGCTAATCGTACAAACAACAGCATCACGGAGGAGCATTCATGATGTGCTAAAGGCCAAGTGTCGGAAAGAGCAGGAGCTTCTTAAAGACTCAATTTGAAGGCGTCAAATTGTAAAGTTTAACGTCTTGGTTGATCGTTGTTATATTTTTTACAACTGAAAGTAGCGTAATTACTTGATGGTGCTAAAAAAACGGCACTATGTCTGAAAAATACATAACACTGGCCTTTTAAACTTCACCTACCATCACCTATTAAAGTCCAGTACTCAGATTTTAGTAGAATGTAAAATTCTACGTCTATGGAAAGTGTCAGAGTTCTGCATTGTTTCTAACGTGGGAATTCAATGGTAACTGAACTGCATCTCTGCGTTTTAAATCACATCATTGTTGGATACGCTTGGATAATTAACAGGAAAGCATCTGATCTCGGCAAACACCACAGAGACACTTTGAATAAAAAGCATAAAATAAAACTGGTTTAACTTTGCTAAGTGACTCCAGAAGAGGCCGAGTCAACCTATGATTAAGCAGCACAATTAAATGTTTTCCTTATCGGAGCTTACAGGAGGGACTTAAACTAAACCAAGTTGTTCCTTTAATGCATTATCTGCATTAAACTGCACATAATGGGACCGACACGCTGCTCCACTGCAGCAGCAGCTGGCCCGTACAGGGCAGAGTGAACGTAAACAAAATGAGCTTCTCCAGGTTCTGAGGAATGGAAATGAGGGATCAGATCGACATTTCTCCACATAACCATCTATTTTCATCGCTTCCCATCAATTTAAACCCGTTTCATGTTCCCTTAGTTTTTAAAACACGTTTTCTTCCTGCCGCCTGTTTTCGTATCGCCCCCCCTCGCTGTGGGAGGTGGAGGTCGCCGAGAGCGGGGAGCTTTTTCACAGCCCATGAAAGGTACACACTACAGAGTCACTGTGGCCGAAAAGAAAACAAACAAACCCACAGGAGAAAGAGCACATAAATCTATCTCTAAATTTATCTTATGACCTCCTCTGAGGAGCTCAGAGATCTCTGATAAAACCTGGCGGGGCGATACCAGGAAGCAGATAAATAATAATCACAGGGAGGTTGCCGTGGAGACCCAAAAATCCGACAGGCTCCAGAGAAAGCCGCCCCATTGTCAGAGCGAAGAGGGCTGCCCATGGCAACAAGTCTTACTGTGATCAAAATACTCATCTAAAAACACAAAAAGGGGCTTTTTGTAGAAAAAACCCAGTTTGTTTTATTCCACTTTCAACTAATTCATGAGTTAAAAACATTTTGCTTAGGGCTGCATGTCTTTATCGACGGCCGACTTCTTTCTCCGCTCATCATGACCGCATTCGTTCGCCATTACTCAGCAGAATATGCAGGCCTCCTTCGCTTCAGGGCCGTGATTACAAATGCGTCATTGATCTGCTGATTGATTTTTCTTCCCTCATGTTAAGCAGCAGACTTTCGCTCAGAAAGACTCAAATTATTTCTACGCAACACTGGTGATCTAACAAACTGTCTCATTAAAAACTACACCCAGAGCAAATTTAAAGGTATTGTTTCATAACGGATTTTATCCTGTCAAATGTAATTAGAAGGATGAAGTGACGCGTCTTTATTTCTTTATTATCTACTGAAACAGCACTGATCAAACCTCATCCAGCTTTTTGTTAAAGATTCAAAAGCTGATCATCAATAACTCATATTTTAGCACTCCTTTCATTCCTGTACAGCACTTTGCCGAAAATGTGCCCTCTAAATAAAATCACCTTCACCTTTCTCACCAAAGGTTTAAATTTCCCAGCGTTTACTCACCAGTGTCGTATTTGGTCCCTTTGGTGCAGGCGACGATGGCACCCATGCTCGGCTGAGACGTCATCCCAGCCATGGAGTCGACCTGCAGGCCAAACAGTTCACATTGTTTTTTTTAAAGAAGTTTATTAGGCCACATTCACTTTTTTGTTGCAATAACGCACGAGTCAATAAATGAACCTGCTCGTAAGGGAGAGAGTACTTTCAGAATGATTCTCAGCTTTCTGAATAGAAGAACCTGAAAATGATATTTCAGGGTAAAACTTTGTTGATTAGGGGAAACAGAAACTGAATGGTGCACAGACCCAGAAGTTCAAACAGCAGGCCGTTACTTAAATGCAGCTGCCCAGGCTGAACTTATTGAACCAAGTGAGGAAATGTTCTGGGCTGCAGCAGCTGCTGCAGCTGCTTCGTCGTCTCGCTTTGTGACATTTCACCAATGAAAACTGAACCAGCTAACAGAAAAACAAACGATTCTTTACGCCTTCATGTTGAGACATTCAGTCGGAACCAGCTGGTCAAAACTCACCGCCACGTCGACGACGTCAGCTCCTGCTTCTGCACAGGCCAACATGGCCGCCACGCCGGCTCCAGCTGTGTCGTGCGTGTGCACGTGAATGGGAACGTCTGGGAAGCGATCCCTCAACGCGCCTATCAGAAGCTTGCTGCCCTCTGGCTTCAGCAGGCCGGCCATATCCTGCAGAGACAAACTGGCATCAACATGAAACAGTCGAGGTTGTTACAGTTCACAAGGCCTAAGATCGAAGCTCCGCCTGGATATTTTTGCTCATTTCAGTTGTAGGAAGTTCTCTAAACGTCCTGTGAGTAAATGTTTTTGCCAATTTCTCCATTACGACTGGAGCGTTCAATATCTAGCAGTTTGAAATTTACCATCTATTAAAAGAGTTTCAGCAGATTAAACTGAAGTGAAACGCGCTCCCTGCAGCGGCGGGAGTGAAATTACCGTAATAACCCAAAACTGGCCGGAAAGAGCAACGTCTCCCCTTCATAAACCGCCGGAATATTTCAGAGTTACGGTACGACAGCGTTGGCTTGTAAAAATGAGCCGTGTGAAACACCTTTCGGCCGATGACGGTTAGCTAAAACTAAGAAGATAATGAACCCTGAAATTGAGAAAACATTTTCATTAAATGAATTAAAAAACGGTAATTAATGGGGAAAAAACCCACAAAACTGGAACTATATCGTGTGTTTATAAAGCTAACTAAAATCTACTGAGATTATAGATATAGAATCTATAATTAGTATTTATTAGCCTTTCGAACGGATGTGAAACTGATTCGATTTTTTCCCCACACAAGCAGTTAACGTCAGCTGTTGGCAAATCAAGGCACTCCGTTCGCTACGTCAGTAAAATGGCGACAGCATCAATTGGTTGTTGAAAATGTCAACTTTTATTGAGTTTTCATTATCCAAACTGATATACACATAATCACAGTACAATACTTGGACGTTTTTTAATTCTGCACCTAGAATTAACCAAAGTATAAATCTTCTATAGCTAGTAAAACCTAAATTAAAACTAAATATTACAGAAACCAGGGAAACGGTGTGGATTTTACCCTCTAAACCGGCTGAAGAGAGGCTGCCACATGTACATGTTACTTTTCTACTAGGTTACCTGTAATACGAGTTATTTACTGTTGAATAATTCATATCAAACTGTACAGAGCTGTGCTTCTCCCATGCAGAGGCGTGTCGGCCCCGACATGGAGGAGATTAACCAGCTGCAGAGACGGAAGCAGACTCTGTCGCGTCTCTAAATGCAGAAGCAGCAGAGAAAGAAATGAGTGCAACTCCTCGGTCAGCCATTTATCTCCGCCAGCGATTCACCCAGTTTCCAGGTCAATCAGCTGCTGCGCTTTCAGAGGTGCTACTTCCCACTTCCTTCATTTCTGCTCCCAGTTTTAAATCAGATGTTTATCCTGATTTACGTTTTTATAGCAGACTCACCTTTCTGTTTTCTACACGAGACAAGCTAGTACATCCAATTGGATTGTCACACAATCTACATTCACACAGCACAACCTCAGTTCCAACGTTTTTCGTTCATACTACCAATTAAACGCGACTCAGTAGCAGTAGGATTGTGATGTCAGTCTATCCAAACGACCTGCTGCCATGTTGTTCTCCCAATAAAGCCACACTTTACTGGCTGTTTTCTAGTTATTTCATAACATCCTGCCTGAGGCCTTCAGAATCTGAGGTTAAGCACATTGGCTTTCTGTAATTTTTGGCAAGAATCTCAAACTCTGACCTTCACTGACACAAACTTCTTTCATAATCATTTTTAGCCACTGATCAGATTTAGCACGTCTGGATTCCTCTGCTGCTGAATTATGATGCCCGTTTCGTGCCAATGCTGTAAAAATCAGACAAAGCTTTGAAGACCGTCAGACACGCGTCTGATTTAGCGTCGAAGAGGTTCAAAACGGACCGTTTTGAGGGGGTGAAACTAACTGGGCCGTTCACAACACCATGGAAACGTCGTGTACGGGTCTGAAACCCAAGCTGAACGTCTGGTTCATGCATCCAGTAACTTCTCATTTCCAAAGTACAAAGTGATTTCTTAATCTAGTTTGAAACACAGTTTGATGGTTCTATAGTATTTTTTTAACTCGTATGAATTGGTAGTATATACTAATTGATTTCAATGCAGTTCTACGGCCAAGTTGCACCAAAAGTAGATGCTTTTTAATTATTTATAGGTTTAATTTATCAGGTAATGAGAATATTACATAAGATAAATAAAAAGAAGGATGTGTTATGGTCTACCCAATCTTCTAGACTGCTGTTGTCAGTCAACAGGATAATGTAATCACTGTGCTCATTCTATTCATGGAAAGTATAGTGGAAGGAAGAAGTGTGGCAAAAAATGGTGCACCAATACAAGTAATAACTTTGAAAGGATTGATAATCAGAAGCCATGAACTGCAGCTGAAGTCTGTGATTCAACAGTCACCAAACTGACGTATCCGGGGGAAATGACTGTCGCATTTCTTTGGTTAATCCACGTCAGAACCAAACAAAATGTCAGAACAATCTCACTTCTGCTGAGGATAAAAAAGACTCAACTAGATTTGTGGTCAAAAGTCCTCTTATCAAGTCACAACAGTCGACTATCAGGAAATTTTGGAGCTTTATAGAGATGCTGATTTCATTTTCCAGCAGTACTTTGCAACTAAAGACACCAATATTTCTGAAATAAACTACATTTTGTGATCATATTTAAATCTATTGACTTGGACCTGAGGCCATTAAATAAATGTGAGCTCATTTATTTATATTGCACATTTTCAGCAACAAGGCATTTCGAAGTGCTTTCCATGAATTAGAGTAAATTCATACAAAACAAAAAATCAGAAAAACAAAAGTACTCCACAACTTATAAATTAATAGGAGTTTCTCTAGATAACGTACCAGGAATTAGGAAACTCCAAAAATTAGCTGAAGCAGCTTGTTGTGCTTCATTAACAAACCCAAACTGTCCAAACGTCTGAAGGAGCAGCTTGTTCTCAACTGCTCCAATTTTAACACACAGCAACTTGTTGGGGAAAAATCAAGACTGTCCCGTTTCCTACGAGTTTATAATAGCTTCACTGTCACAAGGGAAATTAATTTCTGTCAACTTTAACATGAGCTGCGCAGTGAGGCTGATATTTTCACCTGCTTGCATTCCTCAACGTTTTCACCGATGCCTGTGAAAACTGTGTGTGATGCAGGAGGACGAACCCCGACTCGTCACAGCTGTTCACACGTTAACGATTAGAGACATTTTCCACATTTTAACCTCCATTTATGAATCCAGAGCTACCAGTTAAACCAGCTTTTCCATGCGGCTCTCACAGCTGCGTGGGAGTTACTGCTTTAAAACAATCGCTCAAGCTTGAGTAAGAAATTAAGTATTTGTTGGCACCATTTGTTTTATTATTTTCGATAACAGGTTCAAACACAAGAGCTTTTTCACCTGGAAGGAACTGGAAAGTTTCAGGCATGTTAAGTACTCAAACTAACAATTTATTACTGTAAAGTCTGAATTTTAAACCACGATAACTTAAGATCGATGTTCTCTCAGCGATCAAGTTTGGGAAAATCTTCAGCAGAATTAATGACTAAACTCTGTTAGCTCCCCAGATCATGACGCCTCCAGCGCCGTGCTTCACAGCAGGCGTCATATCCAAACACTTGGAACCAAACACGGAGAAGCAGCATTCAGTTTTTATGCTCCAGAAAACTGCAAAACTGCTGAAACACTGAATTCCTTTAAATCATGACTAAAAAAATCAATCCCTTAAGAGTTCATAGTAAAAACTCATTTTAGTCTTTTTCCAACTTCTCATTGTTTTCTTCCATCTTGCCATGTTTTATGTTTTCATCATATAAAGCACCTCGAACTGCCCTGTTGCTCATATCTTCAGCTTTTATTCGAGCCAAACTTCACCAGTTGTTAGTTGTCATGAACTTTAACCTTTATCATCCTGACCCAGGCCTATAGAAACTCAGATGAAGAGCTTTGGTTGCTCTGTGTCCGCTCCTGGGAAACCTGCCAGCCGTCTTAAACATTTCTCACTTGAATAGTCTTTATAACAACGGGATCCAAAGCGGTTGGAAATGACCTCACAACCCCCAGATTGATGCTCCTCCATCGTGTCGCTACAACGCAGTTTTTTTTATTAGAATAATGTTGGATTATTATGTGAATAAAATCATAGTATACGTCAAATACAATTTAATTATGAGACATTTTTGTTTGAGCTGCATCTTTAAAGTGATGTTCAAAACAGCAGGCAGAAAAAAATTAAATTCACATAAAAAAATACAAAAATGTATGAAAAAATTAGAAAAAAAAAGCTTAGTGTTATCAAGACTTGCGTCTATGTGGTTTGCATAACTTTTTCAAATTTCTGCTACTTTCTGATTGATTTTATTTTGATGGAATTGTGCATATTAATGCATGATTTAACTCATTTCCATCCATTGTTTTGTAAAACCAAACAAAATATAAACATTCATACAATTTCTTACATAAAAATAAGAAATGGAATTAATATTCTAATACTCGTTAAATTATTAACTATTTCCTCGTTTGTAAAACCAAACCAAAATATAACTTCACAAGACTGTTTTATTGTGTAATTCTCATTAAATTACTCCTTTACCCTCACATATTACTATTTTGTTGTTGTAATTTAAGAAAATAAACTTTTTTTCATAATATTACTCATTTGTTCTTGCAATTAAAATGAATTCACAGTTTTGCCCTAATATGTGACACATCTGTATGTTTTAGGCAACAAACTGCTAAAAATCCTGCTTTTTTAGTTCGTCATCCTTACTGATTATTAATAAAATGTATTTAAGCAGCTAGGTCCCCTCCTACATCCTAGTCAAAGTAACAAAGGTATACTTTATGTTTCTCATGATAGCAACTTCCTCGACTTATTCCTTTGCGTTTCAATGACAGTTACTATAGCAGCTGCTTCTTTTAGCAGTTCTTATTTGAAGAGAAACCTGTTTATTTATAAACTGAAGTAAGAAGCAGTGAGAATCCATTTCTGCTCCCACTTAGTGTAAACCGAAACCAGAGTTTTGTTGCTTGGACTCCTCAGATGACGCGTCCTGCTACCTCGTCCTTTGTGCCTGCTTGTTTTTCTGTGGGCTGACTGACTCACTGGAAGGTTCTGCTTCTGGACTGGGTTTGGAAACCCTTAGTGGGCTGTTAAACGGCTGGCGGCGCCACACCTGGACGTCCCGCCTTCGTCTCCTCACCTTGATGGAGAGGATGTGAGTCCCGGCTTTGACCAGCTCGTCGGCCAGCTTCACGTAGTAGTCCAGGGAGTATTTCTGCCTCATCGGGTCGGAGACGTCGCCCGTGTAGGAGATGGCGGCCTCCACCACGCCGCCGGCCGACCCGGCCGCCTCCATGCCCAGCAGCATGTTGGGCAGGTAGTTGAGGGAGTCGAAGACGCGGAAGATGTCCATGCCGTTCTCCTTGGCGACCTCACAGAACCTGGAGGAGCAATGCATTCACAGTAAACACGTGTCTAACGAGCTGCCGGCGTGCAGAACTGAACCCCAGATGCTAATCCCTTCCCGTATACTTGCTCATAAACGCCGCCACACCTGAGTAAATAAACTATTCTCACTATTTTCATGAGCGGAGAGCTTAAGCAGCCTGCAGGAGCCGGCAATAACTGGAGACAAATGTACAGCGGAGTCATTATCCCAGCTGCTCCTGGTAAATCCCTCATTACTGCCTTTGCCCCAGTATCTTAATCAGGTTTTTCAAAACCGCGATGAGCGCCGGCTGCGGACGTGTTGCTCTGAATGCAATATTTACCCACACACCGGGAGCTTTTATTTCGGCCAATAAACCGGAGTGTGGCCGCGTGTTTGTTTATTTGTGCCACGAGACGATTACCAGTCCAACATGTGTGCGAGTCCAGTGTTAACACAACGTGCTCTGTGTTGGGGGTTTATTTGGGAACAAATCGAAACCACTGCTCTGACTAACGCCTCATATTTGGGTCATTTAAAAAATAAAAAAGGAGAAGAAGAAGGTTGAGCTTCATAATATGATTCAACAATCTTGTTGGCAGGAAATCGACCCTCCAGGCGGTTTGGAAACAACTTCCTGAAAACAGTACAGGAAGTCACAATACAACCAAAAGATTCAAGGGATTTTATTTGGATTTTGTGCGATAATACAAGGTAATGAATATCTATGGTGCTTTCTTTTTTAAAGTATTTTCTAAAACTAAAAATCTGAAAAGTTTAGCCTACATTTTTCTTCAACCCCCTGAGAAAATGTCCAGAGAAGTCACTTAATTAGTAAACACAGCCCATCTGTTAATTAGGTTTAGAGTTAAGCTCCAAACCTAAAAACATGGAGGTGCTTTGTGTTTTATTCTTCACATTCCTGCCAGTCCACAAACAAATCCAACGGATTAAAAACAGAGACACGCCGAGTTATTCAATTATTCTTAATCTGTCGCATAAAATCCCAACAAAACACCTTGAAGTGAGAACAAAAGTGGCTGTAGCACTTCTGCTGCACGTTAAACGCAGCATTCCTGTGCGTAAAACACACTTTAAACTGAATCAAATGAAATCATCCGTTGATTTGATTTAGCTAATGAAGATTGTTGGGGTTACTTGGTGGCGAGTCGTTTCGGGCCAGGCGGCGGCAGAGAGTAGCCGAGGATGGAGAGGGGAGCCGAGCGAACGGATCAAAGCCATTAATCACAATGATGTGCAAATTTTCAACAGTACTCCCCCTCTGGGACGCGGCACGAAGGGAGGGGGAGACAAAGAGGACGAGGTGCGTAATGGGGCGAGATGAATGAAAGCTGCAAAAAAAAACCAGAGGGAGGCATCAGGGGAAATAAATAACTATAAGGTTAGCGGGTCGGGAACAGCGGAAAACAAGGAGGAGGGAGGAGGTCTGCGTGATTCAGCAGGAAGGCTGGAGGAGGAGGGGACAGCGGCATTACTCATAAAGTAGCCACTACCAATTTACATCAAGCCATGGGATTCACATGCTTGAAGATGGAGGTGTGTGAGTGAGGCAGCTTGTGAATCCACTTGGAAAAGAGGTGGAGGTGCGAGCGAGCGTGTCGGCCTGGGAGTATTTATGTCCTAAAGTGCATCGCTGGCATGCAGCTGCATGAGTGATGTGCAAGTCAGCGAGCGTGACAAGAGGAAACGGGAACGCATCAAACAAACTGACCTGATTAAACACGTTGGAGCCTATAGAGATATATTTAGAACAACAAAGGCTTTCATGTCGAGTTTATATTTAAAGATGCCGCCCTGAGAGAGACGAACATCTGTAAACTTCAAGAAGTCGAGCTCAAACCGAACGCCCACATGCGGAGGAGAGGTTAGAGGCGCTGCACGCAGCCAGGGAATGGATATTCTGTTGCATTCGTCGATTCAGACTCATGAATAACCGCCAAAGTCTCTTCGGTTTGAGAAGCGAGCGATAACTTCACTCACATGACCTTTATAGTGAGGACAAGACCTTCAATTCTTTATAGCATTTAATAAATAAGAAATCTCAGTTCAGCTCTACTCAAATGTGAAGGAATAATGTTTGTAGAAGAGCTTTTCTAACTCCTAACAAGTCACTCAATTACATAAAAAAGTAACTGCATGAAAAAGGCAGTAGAATAATGTATGGAGCTGCTTGTTACCTGGGCATTTTGCACAGAAAAAACCCAGCAGGAGGACATTTCAATACAACCAGACAATAATACAGAACTCAGCAGCTGGCTTTTGGAAACTCATATTCAATTTGATGTTTTGTAAAAAATTCGATCATCGTTTCAGGCAAAAGAAATGCTGAAATAGGAAACTGATGGAGCTGCTCTGATGTATATGCTGCTTAATGCCGAGAGCTACATGCAGCAGAGAAAAGGGAAATAAAACTGTGTGCAAGCAGGTGTGGCCACAAGTTTACATACATTCATCATGGCTTGGCTTTCAACGATCTGAGCCAACAAAACTTTAAAGTTTGACTGGATTTTCTCTAATCCACAAAAGTTATGACAGTTCAAATATTCACAGGTACATCTAAAAAAAATTTAGATTGTAACAAAAAAAGAAGAAAAAGAAAGTAAAACTCAGATGTTTATCTACAGAGGGTTGAGAATATATATGCAAAATTGCTTTAAAAGTTGCATTAAAATTCCATTAAAAGTGTCATTATTTACCAAATGACACATCATGACAACAGTCAAACAGGAGGAGGGTCTTATTGCTGTCAATCAATGTCATGTACTCGCTGCTCAATGTGCTGATTGTGGAGAAACAGCTAAATGTTACAGGAAAACCATTTATCATAGTTATAGCCATTGGTGGCTATGCTAACTAGCTTTAGCATTCACAACAGACTGCTAGTTGCAGCGTAGCAGAGAGCAAGAAGGGAAAGAGGGGAGTTGAGCAGCGACACGCAGATCGACGGTACTAAGCCTCTTCTCCTGGCTCTGGGTGGTTGTTTCTAGTTGGCACTGGCAGAAGGCAAAGAAGTGAAGGGTGCACCGATTTATCGGTGCCAATTTTCTTAATTATGGGAGATCTGTGATCGGGCGATTTTTACATATGGAGCCAATCTCATCTACCACCAAAACAGGTCTAAAAATCAGCCACTGTTCTGCTCCTCCATGAGAGGTTTGACTCAGACCGGCCCACCAGGTCATGTCTGCACGTTGCCAACATGCGGAGCAACATTTCAGACAAAGAAATTTGGTATAGGCCAAAATTGGAATCAGCGGGTTAGGCTTTTTAAAAGATCGGTAATCGGTCAGAAAACTGCAATCAGTCCAACATATCATCTCACAAAATACACAAAAAACATTTTTATACATGTTACACACTGCAACTTTAAAGGGCTAAACCACTTTTAAAAATCCTAAATTTCTTTGCCTGTCAATTAATATCGACATTAACTGGACAAGGCAACTGTAATAAAATTCAGGGCTGTCGGGGTGTAACCGTGTGCAGGAGCGACTCACTTGTAGACGGCGTTGTCGGGGTAGTTGGTGTAGCCCACAGCGTTGGCCCCCCTCAGCAGCATCTGGAACGGGACGTTTGGGATCAAAGCTCTCAGCTCCTGGAGCCTCTTCCACGGACATTCGGACAAGAATCGCATGGCCACGTCAAAGGTTGCTCCTGCACGCGCGCGCACACACACACACACACACACACACACACACACACAGAGGAAACAGGGTTAGGCTTTCATCTCCATCCTCATCTGTCATCCTGACTTTGATGTCGATTACACAATCAAAGAGATGCTTCAAACTTATCTCAGGCGCCGCAAACACCCAGAAATACACAACGATAATGGATGATTGTATAAAATATGATTATGGTTCTTTTCAAAGGAATTTTTAAAACCCAAGAAATGTTGCAGTGAATGAGACGAGGAGAGAAGAAGAAGAAAAAACCCAAAGCAATCTCTCATTTTCCTTTCTGTGGGAGCAGATAAGGAATTCCTATACCCGTTTATCATATCAGCCGGAAATATTGAAGCCTCCAGCGGTATTCTGCTGATCCAACACTGTCATCATTAAATTTCATTTTCTGGGCACTCATGCGTAAGAACAGAGAGAAAATACTGAGCACAACTGCTGCTCTTATGAGCGCTGCAGGAATAAAGCCTCCTCACACAATTCACACCCCCTCCTAATTTAAATTTCAGCCTACGTCAGCATCTCCAAAAGCCCTGGATCGGAGCGGAAATCACTGAGCAGTCTTGATGTCAGACATATTGGTATTACCGTTTCGCTGCACGTGAGATATCCCAACATGAGGCAAAGTGGAGGACTCATGCGCGGCGGCAGACTCTACCCTTATGATTTGATAAAGTGAATGAAGACTGACAGCCGGTCCCACAGGCAGGAAACATGAAGCACAGCCTGATTCCTTTTGGACAGGCAGGAAGCCGCCGCTCTGCTGTGAACGTGGGCCACAATAAACCAGATGGAAACAAGTGCAATATGCCCATAACGGCTAAGGAAGCAGAGAGGCATTCAACAAGAAAAACAACCTATTTTGGGAAGCTCCGTATGCCAGATGAAGAGTTCCAGGAATACAAGATAAGGGCTTGTAACTTCCACCATTAGGAAATGATGTTGACACAAATACAAAACATGAAAGCAACGTCATAATTTACGACGATGTGTTTTATATCCCTCTTTATATCTGAAGAGGGTTTATATTTGAAGCAAAAGGGAATCTGGACTGAGCAAATCTTATGGTCTGTTCACACCAAACGCGTTTTGAGCTCCAGGCGCGGTTCGCCCTCTAGCGCTGCATGATTTGGAGCGTTTGTCAAGCACGTCCGACGTGTCCAACCCTTAAGTTAAGCTGAACTTTTGCCGCTCAACGAGGTGAAATCCAAAAGAGAAATCCTACAAAAGCTAAAATCTAATCCCGCTCCATTTTTGTTCACATCTTTAGAGGTTTTTGCGTTGTTTCCTTCAGTGCTTCTTGCTGCAGCGCCGCCTCAGGTGAGGAGGGGAACATGTTTGTTTGACGGTGTGAAGGCAAACTGCACCAGCTGAAATTTGGTCCCCAGTTAAACCGAGTCTTCTGGACTATCAGATGGGAAAACACCCAGAGATTCAGAGAACTGGGAGTTGATACTTAGTACAAATAGGAGAAATAATGCAGGTCAGAACAGGAGCATAAGCGTCTGCTTCAGAGAATATTTCTCCTGAATCACATTTGAGATCAAGACCCATTTTTCTTTTGTGGCCACTAATGATCCATAAAATCAGCATATAGCATTTCTCCTCCTTTTATGTTGTGCTCCATTTCTCCACTCCTCACCTCAAACATGGCCAGGAATATGATTGTGGGCTACAGTTTTGAGCATACCCAACATAAACGAATGTAGAAATCTTTAAATATGTCTTTTAAAGCATGCATAGTTTCTATTTTGAAGAAAAATCAACTGGCAAGACATACACGCATTCCTGAACTCTTAAACTTTCTTTAGCCAATAAAGGTTAAAAATGACTCATCCACTGAGTTACATAAGGCACATCAAAGCATTTATCTCCCTTTTTACTCAAACTGCAATTACACATGCTAATAAATGTGATACTTTCACAGCTGGGTCAATTTTTATGTATCTCAGATTGTCCCTTTGTTGCTCTGGATTAATCGAGCCGCCGTTTCTCTTCAAGCTCAAACCGTTTCTGCATTACAAAGCACAAACTGAAACAGTACGCTCTTCCTGTACGTCGTCCCAAAAACGTGTGCAGCTCAAACAGAAGGAGCCCTATAGATGCATTGTGTGACCCAGTTCATTTTAATGTATCTTCCACACGGCAGCGAGGAACGCTATATCGGGAAGGGACTTAATCCTCAAAGGGCTTTCACAGGCTTAATCTCTTCAATGATTCATTCTGCCTCTAAGCAGCTGCAACATGTGAAGGCAATATTCCCTCTTCAAGACCACAACAGTGTTAAAAACAAAACGTCGTCGCACGGGGAGACGGCGTTCAATATTCAAAAATTCACTGGTCCCTGGAGCGATCCGCTCTGGACACCAGTGAGGCCAGTAGAGACCAGAGACGTCCAGTTTCTCTGATCGCTCCCTGATCACTGCGCTGTGTTTTCGCATCAGGATCCATTCCTCCTGTGGCCGTTCACTGATTTACGAGGGTCTGTTTAGAGGTTCTGCTACGAGCCGTCACTGTGGGGCTGGAGAGGAGCCTTTCACTGCACCGCAGTCTAATTAGTGTTTAACAAACTCAATGAGGTGATAATGTTTCCTGACAACTGCTAAATATTAGATCTTAAGGTTTTAAAAGGGAGAATTCATTTCATCAGGTAAAACGAGGAAGAAACCAAACGCTCGGTTTGTTTTCCTGTAGCTGAACAGAAAATAACCTTCAAAAACAGATAAAAACAGCCAGCGCTTGTTAGAGAGGAAGCTTTAAGCCAACAAGGCAGATCCTGGTGTATTTACCTAAAAATTAACTTCCAATTTGAAGCAAAAAGTGTCTCATGAGAAATTAAAGCGACTGAGTGCGAAGTTGGGAGGAACGTCTTATGAGAACAGAACAAAATGATGAGAAATGAAATTTTGTTCCTGTGCAAACCGAAAGAGACAGAAAACATGACTTCTGCTCATGTGAAAATAGATAAAAACATAAATATTATGACTAGAAAGTGTCTTTAAGTCACTTTTAATGACTTTGCAGGGTTGCAGATTTAGTCGAATCAAACTTATCCAGCTGTTTGACTTTACATCCAAACGCTCCGGTTCTACCAAATGTTTATTAAAGGTCGGCCTTTTTATATTTAACCAGGAATTAAATTATTTTGAAGGCTGTGTTTTATTCCCACAGTTGATTGCACCGTTTTGGGGATACAGGATGACTGAACGGTGAAGCATCAGTTGTCTACACTCACCTTCTTTACCTGCATGTCAGCCGATCATTAGAAGCATTTTAAAGCCTTTAGTCAGCGAGTCGGGGTTAAGACGACCTGCTGAAATTCAATCGGAGCATCACGCAGGGGATGAGAGTGGATTTTAGAGCGTTTGATCGTCCAGAAACTGGTGATCTACTGGGATCTGCAGGTTTACGGTGTGATGAAAATTCCTTGTTTATGTCAAAGCTGTTCTGAGAGGATTAAAAGTAGCTCAGTTGCCTGCTTGATGCATCCAGAGTGAGCAGAAATAACATGAAGGCGCAACGTGGGCTGCGTTCACACAGCAGGTCAGTTGGGCCCAAATCCAACTTCTCTTTTTTATCATGTCTGACTTTTTCATGGTCCAATTCCAATCCTTTCACTTCCTCCAAAAAAAAAAATCCAATTAGTGCCAATTCCATATAAGATGCTAAATGGGATAAATAATAGTTTTCTGCAGTCTGAACGGTCATGTCACGTTTTATTTGACCTGAGAAATGCAACATAATTCTCAACCAGAAGCAGAAAATCCAGACAAAACTAATGTGGACACTTTACGATTTTACCAGAAATGTCCAATATAAATTATTACATACAAATGTAATAATTTTAGCCTGTAGTTTTTAGAAAACTACAGGCTTGCCATGGTGTGATGATGCAGTATAACGTTACTTTCTCAGACGTTTTTATTCCACTCTGCTTCAGCTTGAAAGCAGCTGAGTTCGTCCCAGTAAAGGTTTCCAGTGAAAAACATTTTGAAAAATGGTTTTGACTCTATAATCGTCTCAGTTTCAAACATGAACCTGGTTTTGTAAAAAAATAAATAAAAGTTTGACAAAGTGAACAAAATTCAAGAAAATATTAACGTTCTGTGTTGAAGCAATTAAATTTTTCTTTCAAATATGTTTTGAACAGGGAGTAAAGCCTGGAATTAATCAGTTTTTTACACTTACTGAGACTTAAATACTTGGATAATTGTTAACTTTTGAATAACACAGAGCTCCTTTCTAAACAGTAACTTATCAGGCCATTTACATCTTTAAGAAAAATAAAGCAGGCATTTAGATGATTTAAATCAGAAAATTAGGTTTGAGAGTTTGTTTGAAGATCTATAACGCTGCTTTTAAAACACAAAATTAAACCAGGAAGAGAAACGCTGCTTCTTTAAACACCCAAATTATTAGACCAAAGAAAGATTTAGCATGGATGGCTTTGTGTAAAAGCTAGAGTAGCTTTTGACTCATTTCTCAAGAGGCCTCGCCTCATTCCTCTTACATTTTCTGTAGCTCAGGAAAACAAATGGATCTGATGCACCGAGGCTCGTAACGTCAGCCCTTTGCTGTCATGTTGGAGATGTTTACCGTTCTCCAACGCTCGTCTCGTATCTGGATTCAGCGGAGCTCTTCTGCCGTCATATAAGTGGACGTACATTTTTCTGACTTCCTCGCACAGACGAAAGTCCGTTCACACTTCAAGAGATTTCACTGACAAAAGATTTCAAAGCCAGCGCAGTTCAGACACGAGGCCGACACAAAGTGAGATGTATTTACCGTTCACTCGGATGCAGGAACTCGCTAGATTAATGTGCGGTGTGTGATCCCAGCCTCTACCGCTGCAGTTGCTCTCATTAACGCCGCGCCGTCTGCTAATTATTGGGTGGAATCCTTCAAGGCCTGGGCGCAATGAGGTTGTGTTTCCGTGGATTTTATTGGTGTTTTAGCACATCCCATTAATACTTG